CGCGGTTGAAACTGATCAGTTTCAGCAGCGGCTGACGCCAGTTCCGACTTACGTACAGATTCAACTTAAGAACAAACCTACAGTCCCTATCTCGTACGTAACCCGGGGACTGCCTGTACTCAGATTCTACAGCAGGGGTGGGCAAGAGGGCCTCCTCAGGCTGGATCCGGCAGCTGGATCCAGCCCATGGAGGCCCTGCTACTTCCCCGCCCCCGGGCCAATTAGGGCCTGGGGTGGGGGAGCGGGCAAAGCCTCCTTCTGTCCTGCCAGGAGCATGAGGCACTTAGAAGCACCACACGCTACTCGCGGAGTGGGGGAGTGCAGAGGTGGTTTCGCGCACTCCCCCGCCTCCAGGCCTTATTTGGCCTAGGGGCAGGGGGCTGTGGGAAGTCTCCTCCCACACCAGGGGCATGGGTACATAAGGAGAACGTGGGGAGAGGGCAAAGGCGCTCCCTCACTCCCAGACCACTTATTGTCTGGGGGTTGGGAACCAGGAAGTATCTTGTCCCTGACCCTTCCCATTCTATGTGGCCCAGAGCCACTTCAAAAATTTCTGAAGTGGCCCCCAGCAAAGAATTATTGCCACCCCTGTTCTACAGTTATGGGAGTCACATAAGTATCATTAAGTCTACATTGCACGTCTACACTGCACACTTATTTCAGAATAAGCTATTCTGGAAGAAATACTCAGAAATAGCTTGTTTCAAAATAGTATGTCTACGCTTCAGGGAAGCCTCAAAATTAGTCCGAGGCAGGCTCCCCTGATGTGGAGCGATACCTCAATTTAGAGACCCAGGAAGCACTAAGGAATAATTACTTTGAATGGCCCTGGGGAGGAGCTATTTCAAAATAGCAGCAGTGGAGCATCCACACTATAGCTATTTCGAAATAACTATTTTGGAATAGGCGTTATTCCTCATGGAATGAGGTTTACAGAAGTCAGAATTAGCCATTCGTTACTTCAATATTATTTCAAAGTAATGGAATTGCTGTGCCGATGCTCACATTGTTATTTCAGAATAACAGCCATTATTCCAAAATAGTGCTGCTGTGTAGATGCAGCCCTAGATAGAAAGACAGAATAGTGCCTCAGCCAGGGAATAAAGTGTCTGGAGAACATGCTGTCTGGGATGGAGGCAGTCAATTGACTTATAGCTCGCACAAAAATGGGGAGAGGATTTTTAGTCTAGAACACTGAGGCACTCTGCTCTTATGGAAGATACCAATACAACCTAACCTTCATGAACTGCAGGCACGAGCTCTGTTTTTTAAGGTCTCATCTGAAAGGGGGAAAATACCCTGATCTGAATGTTAATGCTATTATTTCAAACAGTGAGGAACAGTGCTCTCAGGAACAGCATGGTTGTTATTAGTGAAATCACACTGGTTTCCATAAATATGAGCACCCACATCATTGGTTTGTTCAGCCCTAGAAAGACTTTATGTTACTTTATGTTAGGAACCAGAAAGCTTTATCCGCTATTTCATGTTGTTTTTCTTTGGTTTTACTGATACAAGTGTCATTTTTCTCTCTCTCTAACAAAGCATTTATGGCTTTTGTTGTCTAAGCAACCTGATCGTGAGATGGCTACAAAACCAAGGCCAACTCTTACAGTACAAGCAGGAGATTGTATTGTAATGCTGTCACCTCCTGCACCCGTAACACAAACAGACCTAATTGGGAATGGAGAGTGAGGTTAGGGAATGCAAAATGGACTCATAGAAGGAACAATTGTACTCAGCTAGTCTAACCTCCTCTATAACCAGAGGCCATACTGCTTCCCAGAATTAATTCCTATTTCAATTAGAGCAGTGGTTTTCAATGTTTTTTATCATTTGTGGACCCCTACAATTTTTAATGGAGGTGCAGACCTCTTTGGAAATATTAGTCTGCAGACCCCCTGGGGTCCACAGACTAGAACAGGGCTACTCAACACACGGCCCGTGGGCCTCATCCAGCCCACAGCCCGTTTGCAGCCCACGGTGTGGTTTGGGTTTATACGGGGCTCAACACACAGCCCGTGAGTGGGATCCTTTGAACATGGCCTCCACTGGGAACACGCTCCACAATGGTGAGGCATCTCCCAGGCAAGGTGAGCATTGAAAGACGCAAGCGGATGGGCTGGCTGGAACAGACAGGTACAGGGTGTCAGCGTTTCTAGCCTCCAGGGAGGAGGTGCCAGGAGCGCCAGGGTGTTTGTGTAAAAGAAGCTACTTGCATACATTTGCATATACATTTGCATTTATAGGCAACCACGCTTAGTTGCAGCCCTCAGCATGTGCTATGAGTATCATTGTGGCCCCCGAGGCCTCTAAAGTTGAGTAGCCCTGGACTAGAGGTTAAATACCATTGAACTAAAGCATGTTTTTTGGGAAAACATCTAATCTTGATTTTAAAAGGTTTTCTCTCTTGAGGGTTTTTGCTTGGATCATGACTGGGAGTTGAAACTCACCCTGGTGTAATTTTCTGCAAGCATCAGTTTACAGTTCCCCAGCTCTAAACTCCCTCCTCTTCAAGAAACACCTTCTCCTGTAACCCTTGCCATAGTTCC